CTCTCACTCCCATTGCTCCCCGGGCACTGTGCAATAGCTGCCCACTGCTCCTAGTGCTAGACTCCTGGTGCTAGACTCAGGGCACTAGACTCCTGGTTCTAGACTCATGGTACTAGACTCCTGGTTCTAGACTCCTGGTGCTAGACTCCTGGTGCTAGACTCCTGGTGCTAGACTCCTAGTTCTAGACTCCTAGTGCTAGTCTCCTAGTGCTAGACTCCTAGTGCTAGACTCCTAGTGCTAGACTCCTGGTTCTAGCCTCCTGGTGCTAGACTCCTAGTGCTAGACTCTGTAGAGTTATATTTGTATTTATTCATGTTAGCAAACTATGGATAAGCTTAAAATGGGAATAATTTGGGTAAAACTGTGAGCTGCATTTGGGGCCTGTTGACATGTGTTTTTGAGGACAAAGGAAGATGGGGAAGGTGAGAGCATGTCCTGATTTGCATTCAACTTAGAACAAGCTACAGTGGTTGTGATATTAAGAGAGGTCCCTTGGGTTTCTCTGGTGCTTATCAACAGTAGCAGTTAAGTGAATACTGTTCAAACAATACCTGTGTTTGTGTTTTATATTGATTTCTCTGTTTTATCCTTTCATAAATGTAAGGACTACAAATGGCTATAACATTCTGGGCTGGTTGGAGTAAACAGGGTTTTATTGCTCTGTGGGGGAGGTGTAGGTATGCAGGCCTTGAGACTTTTGGTTGTAAGGTGAGCCTGTTTGGTTTCCTGCTGGCCAGCGTTGCGTCTCCCAATGAGATGACCTGAAAAGATGACCAGCTGACCTAACACCAAACCCCTCCTTCTTACTCTGGTATATATCCGGTGGATCCCTGGCGTTCGGCCTCTTCTTCACATGCTGCCCTCGGGTGAAAGTAGCTCTGCAGTATGCGAACCAGTGCAGGAGTAAGCCGGCATTACTCCTTAAGCATTACAATATAACTGTAATATATCATGTTGTATTGTAATGATTGTATTGCATTGTCATATTGCCATTAAAGTAGATTATTGTTAACGGTTACTTTGTAAATATGGATTCCTTCCTGTATTATAACCATCTTCATAGGAACGCGCGGAGATTTGAAAAGCGGACCAGATATCCCTTTTAATCTCCAACAACTCCTAGTGCTAGACTCCTGGTTCTAGCCTCCTGGTGCTAGACTCCTGGTGCAAGACTCCTAGTGCTAGACTCCTAGTGCTAGTCTCCTAGTGCTAGTCTCCTAGTGCTAGACTCCTAGTGCTAGACTCCTGGTTCTAGCCTCCTGGTGCTAGACTCCTGGTGCAAGACTCCTAGTGCTAGACTCCTAGTGCTAGACTCCTGGTTCTAGCCTCCTGGTACTAGACTCCTGGTGCTAGACTCCTGGTGCTAGGATGGGTTAAAAGCAGAGAACACATGTCACTGTGTGCTGTGTGCTCTGCATGTGAGACTATTACAGAGGGTTTCATCCCTCCAATTCTGATTGGTGGAATGAGCTCCTATTGACATTAGAAACTCTGGGTAACCTCCATCGCAAACTGAAAACCCATCTATTTCAACTGTACCTTAACAATTACATTCCACTTTGTAGAGTTAATGTAGGCCTTTATCTGATTCACTAGAACTAACTATGGTATGAGTAGCTTGTAGTGAATATATCTGCACTTTCCTTGTTGTGAGGACATGATTCTTTATGGTTTTTGCACTTATTGTAAGTCACTTTGGATAAAAGCGTCAGCCTAAAAATCCTATTTGGGGTTGGCAGGTACCGGCACTACAGTTACGTAGATCAGAAAGAATTAATATCATTAAATGTAAATACTGGCAGAGCTCACTCTTTTACAACATGAAACACACCAGCATATATATTACAAAAGCATTTATTTAAATGAGAAACGATCCCAGTTACATGAAGCATTACTGAACTGGTTCCATTCGTATCCTGCGTGTCTGTAAGGCTGGGTAAAGGTCAGGTGATCGCACAGGAAGTGGATCGTGCTGAGTAAGAATACGGTGAAGTCCCAACACAGTTCTTTAATTTAACAATCAATATTTATTCCATGAAAACTGATAAACCTGCTCTTTAAATCACCTCTAACTTTTACACATTATACATTACATATTTATATTGTGGTATTGGAAATATCATAACTTTAGTAATTTTATTTGCCACTTTTTGTCCGTTTTATGTCATTTTTTTGTCTTTTTCCGAGTTTGGAATCTTTTAAAGATGCTTTATATAAGTGCTGCTTGTTTTATATTTTGATCTGTAAGTCATGAAACCACTTTGTGATTGAGTTTGAGGAGCGCTTTATTAAAGGGGACCTATCATGCTATATTTGAACAATATATTGTAGGGCCATACCTATACAAAGTATATAAATATAGTTTTTTTTTTCAAAACACCAAAAAGATCCTGCATTTTAGCCATGCCTCATTTCACTCTATTTGCTCTTTCCAGCGCTGTTTTCACAAGGGCTGATTCTGTGAGCTGCAACTGACCACGCCCCCCTGTAGCTGACCACGCCCCCCTGCAGGAGAGGGGAGCGTGCTCTGATCAGCTGCTGGGCTCTCAGAAGAAGCGGAGGAAAAGAGAACTCCGTACTCCGTGTTTTTATTCTTATATGATTATATCGAGTCATTACTCATTTGTTTTAAAGCTCAATAAATAACAAAGAAGACATTTGACCGGCACTTTTCTAATTTTGTCCGGAAGATTTAAACTTTAACGGACATGTTGACCGGCGAAAGAAAACTGAAACTCTGCCGCACGGTCCCTTCGTTCCTTGGAAGAGGCGGAGAGGTGGGTGTATTTCATAGATATATATAAACACCAGATGACTCACCCACGCTGCTGGCCAATGGAGACCGACGTTGCCTCATGGCGGCCATCTTGCCACAGGCAGCTCGCTCACTCATAACATTATGTCTACGGTGCTCTATTGAAATTGCCGTAGATTGCTCAATTTTCAACCAATTTTCAAACGGTTTGGTTTGTTATAAACATCAAAGATGTAGTTATGATACTGCATACTTATAATTATAATCATTAACTTTTTTTTTTCAACATGTGTTGTTGTTTCCTGTATCATAGCCATGCTAATAACGTTTATAATAAACCAAACCGTTTGTAAATTAGTCAAGATTTCAGCGAGTTGAGAGCATTTCTGTGCAGATCCCTCACCTCACAACAGCTGTAGCAGTAGCTGTTGACTGTGGCAAGATGGCCGCCGGTGAGCTACGCTGGCGACTCCCCCTTCAGCCATCTAGTGTTTATATCTATCTATGGGTGTTTGTCATCTGCTGGTGGACTAACCTGAGAGAATTACAGTGCTTGCCTCGACGGGGAGGGATTGCATTGAATTACAGCGGGGAGCAAACGCTTGCCTCGGGGAGGGAGAGAAAGAGCCACAGCGGAGGAATAAAACAGAAGGGCAACCATGTAAACATGCAAGGGAAGTCTTTCTTCGCTGCTTTTGTGGCAGACTACAGCGCCACTTACAGGCCTGGCATATGTACTACAGCGGTCTCCAGCGCTTTCGAGCGGCAATGCCGGCCGTGGCTCAACCTCTCATTCCCCTGATAGGTGGAGAGTTGACCAATAGCCGTAGCGCCACCGTCCTGACATCAGGACGGTGTTCAAATCTGGATCAGTCTGTAATCAGATCCGTTGCAGCCCCTTTTTTTTAGAGATTTGGGTATGGAGGAAAATAGAGAGGGTTGTGTTTTCTGACACTTGGTGAGTTCCCTGACACACCGGGGACACATGTTCATGTATAAAAGACGTACACAAGTGCATTTTGCATGATAGGTCCCCTTTAAGTATAAATGTGATGAAGATGGTTGATACGGTCTGATGCCCTCTAACACACAGAAGGTGGACCCTTGAGAGTGTGTTTCCGAGCTCTGATGGAAAACAGCCTGATAAGGGTTATTAGGATTTATTATCTGAGATGTTTGGGACCTTCGGACTGTTATCAGTCAGTAGCCACACCTGAGATCAGAATCACACACACACACACAACACACACCACACACACACACACACACACACACACACACACACACCACACACACACACAGACAGACAGACAGGACAGACAGACAGACAGGACAGACAGACAGACAGACAGACAGACAGACAGACAGACAGACAGACAGACAGACAGACAGACAGACAGACAGACAGACAGACAGACAGACAGACAGACAGACAGACAGACAGACACGCACACAGATACACACACACACACACACACAGACAGACAGACACACACACACACACAGACAGACAGACAGACAGACAGACAGACAGACAGACAGACAGACAGACAGACACACACACACACACACAGACACACAAGACAGACAGACAGACACACACACAGACACATACACACACACACACACACACACTTTCTCTGCTGCTCTGAAGGTAAGTCGCGTTGTTTTTACCGGTTTATAATAAGCGTTACAGAACAGACTCTGCTGTGATAATGGAGATCTCCGGAGCTGTAGGGTTTAGCTGCAGACGGACTCTTCCACAGAGTCACGTATTGGAAAATCATACAAAATACCTGTTGATGATATTTTGTGTACATTTATTTAGTTCATATTATGAATGTGAATCATCAGATGGATTTATAATTCATTTATGTAACAGGAAGGGTTTTGATTTCTTATGAATACTTATAATTAATGACATTGTTATTGTCTTCTTTATTTATTCTCTGAATGTGTTTTATATTTTTTGGAATCTCTTTTCTTTTTTATTGTCAGTTTGCTCTTGAAATGTGTGTTTGCTGTTATCGACGCGCTCCATGAATAAAGTTTATTCTTCTTTTGATTATTGTTATAAATGCTTTTATAACCTCACAAGTTGTCTGTGCTGACTCTCTAAATGATCTGTCAGATAATGAAGTGATGAACCTCAGAACTTTACTACAGTTCATGTCGTTCCCCTGAAGTCTTGACCATCGAGCAGACGTTGTTTGTTGTAGAAAGTGTTTCCGTTGGACAGACGTCATGACGCGCAGAGTCTCAGCTCTGGAGGCGACGCTCGCCGTCCTCTTCGTCTCATGACGGTCGTGAGCGTCACGCTGATCACACTGATGGCCACCGGGAAAGCACACACAGGTGAGAAACACACACACACACATGTACACACATTATATTTAACCATAAACTTTTAGTAGCTACCATGTGGGGACCTGACGTTGGTCCCCATAAAGTCAGTGGGTCCTCACAAACACCCATTTTTGAGTTTTGTCCTTTTTAAAAAAAATGTAAATGTTTTTTGTGTTCCTCTTATTAACAATTTAAACGGTTACAAAAAAGTTGTATTTGTTATATAAAATATTGTATTTATATTACCTTTTATATTTTAAAAACCACTACAGTATGATTTATTGTGAATTAAACAGTAAACGTACACAGGACCCGTCTGCCTAGCCCTCGTCTTTGGGCTTTAGGAAAAGAGATATACAAATCCAATGTGAAACAGAAACCAGCATGTTGGTTTGATTCTGCCTCAAATACTTTGGATTTGTGGATTCATCCGCTGCTGAAAATAGTCCCCAGCAAATGCATGAATCCCTCCTGATGTTTGATAAAGTCAAAAATAACTGGCTCCTAGCTTTAGGAAGTTGCTGTCGCAAAACTAAAGACATTATCAGTCGACTCACACACACACAAATATATTGAGGTTATTGGCCACATTATTAAAAATAAGGCGTTCATCATTAAGAATGAATTGATCACAAATCCATAATTTAAATCTTTTAAAAAGTAAGATTAAATAAAAAGTCCTTATCTTCGAGATTATTAAACATATCTGTTTTAAAATGGCAAAATCTAAACTCTATTCCTAAAATGTCTTACTTTATTCTCAAGATTTCCACTCTGGAAATACATTAAAATCTTCCACCTCTTATTGTTTTCCTCATTGTTTCTGGCCAGCGTACGATTCTGGAGAAATCACACTTTAAAACTATCTTTCAACAATCTGGAAAACAATCCACAAAATACTCAGATTGTTCATTTGCAGAAAGCAGAAAATAATAGTTGAAATACCTTCAAAGCTTCTCTGTTGTTCCCTCAGGGTCCGGAATCCTTCCTGATCGGACTGGGTCGGGCCGACTGCACAGGACCTCCAGCCGACATCCCTCTGGTCAGTAGAGACCATAGCAACCAGCACTCAGTTAGAGACCATAGCAACCAGCACTCAGTTAGAGGACCATAGCAACCCAGCACTCAGTTAGAGACCATAGCAACCAGCACTCAGTTAGAGACCATAGCAACCAGCACTCAGTTAGAGAGCATAGCAAACCAGCACTCAGTTAGAGACCATAGCAACCAGCACTCAGTTAGAGACCATAGCAACCAGCACTCAGTTAGAGACCATAGCAACCAGCACTCAGTTAGAGACCATAGCAAACCAGCACTCAGTTTAAAGACCATAGCAACCAGCACTCAGTTTGAGACCATAGCAAACCAGCACTCAGTTAGAGACCATAGCAACCAGCACTCAGTTAGAGACCATAGCAACCAGCACCCAGTTGGAGACCATAGCAACCAGCACTCAGTTAGAGACCATAGCAACCAGCACCCAGTTGGAGACCATAGCAACCAGCACTCAGTTAGAGACCATAGCAACCAGCACTCAGTTAGAGACCATAGCAACCAGCACTCAGTTGGAGACCATATCAACCAGCACTCAGTTAGAGAGGATAGCAACCAGCACTCAGTTAGAGACCATAGCAACCAGCACTCAGTTAGAGACCATAGCAACCAGCACTCAGTTAGAGACCATAGCAACCAGCACTCAGTTAGAGACCATAGCAGCCAGCACTCAGTTAGAGACCATAGCAACCAGCACTCAGTTAGAGACCAGAACAACCAGCACTCAGTTAGAGACCATAGCAAACAGCACTCAGTTAGAGACCATAACAACCAGCACTCAGTTAAGGCCCTATCACACTGTCCCGAAATTGACACCCGATGGACACACGAATATGGAATTGTGAATTTTGCACGAAGATGGCCCCGAACCACACACGAAGGCAACATTTACATTACATTTAAGACATACAACTGCAATGAAAGTACCAAAAACAATTATGTTACAGTACTATGATACTGTACTGATATCTTCAGACTTTGTTCTTTACTTTATCCGTCGTTATATGTAGAAAATATTACGTTTTCTCCGTAATGTTGTTTCCATAACAACAACAACTTTCTGTCAACTGGTCCTTCAAAATAATATATTATATCCTTTTTAGTTTCACAGAACACAAATTGGGTTATTTACATAATATATTTACATGATTTTGTTGTGCAATAAAATAACCCGATGGACACACGATAAAGGAAATGTTCAAATTCGGCTGTGATCGTAGCAACATCGGGCCATTCGTGAGGCATCTTAAGCCTTCGTATGACCGCCGGTGGAGTTTCTCAGGCTCCGGCAGCAACTTCGTGAGCGGTGGCAAAATCTTTGGCATGCCAAAAATTTGCCGAAGGACCTTGCGAAGGTTAATTTTCGTGTTGAATTCGTGTGTCAATTTTTCCCTTCGTAAGGCCATCGTGAGGGCATTGTGTTATCATCGGTGCCATCGGGCATTCGCCCCGATCAGAGTGAGGGCGAATGCCCGATGGCACCGATGATAACACGAAGATGACACGATTTGACAAGATGTCCTCACGAGTGCCTTACGAAGTTGCTGCTCACTAAGTTGCTGCCGGAGCCTGAGAAACTCCACCGGCGGTCATACGATGGCTTAAGATGCCCTCACGAATGGCCCGATGTTGCTACGATCACAGCCGAATTTGAACATTTCCTTTATCGTGTGTCCATCGGGTGTCAATTTCGGGACAGTGTGACAGGGCCTTTAGAGACCATAGCAACCAGCACTCAGTTAGAGACCATAGCAACCAGCACTCAGTTAGAGAGCATAGCAACCAGCACTTAGTTAGAGACCATAGCAACCAGCACTCAGTTAGAGAGCATAGCAACCAGCACTCAGTTAGAGAGCATAGCAACCAGCACTCAGTTAGAGACCATAGCAACCAGCACTCAGTTAGAGACCATAGCAACCAGCACTCAGTTAGAGACAATAGCAACCAGCACTCAGTTAGAGACCATAGCAACCAACACTCAGTTAGAGACCATAGCAACTCAGTTAGAGACCATTGCAACCAGCACTCAGTTAGAGACCAGAACAACCAGCACTCAGTTAGAGACCATAGCAACCAGCACTCAGTTAGAGACCATAACAACCAACACTCAGTTAGAGACCATAGTAACAAGCACTCAGTTAGAGACCATAGCAACCAGCACTCAGTTAGAGACCATAGCAACCAGCCCTCAGTTAGAGACCATAGCAACCAGCACTCAGTTTGAGACCATAGCAACCAGCACTCAGTTAGAGAGCATAGCAACCAGCACTCAGTTAGAGACCATAGCAACCAGCACTCAGTTAGAGACCATAGCAGCCAGCACTCAGTTAGAGACCATAGCAACCAGCACTCAGTTAGAGACCATAGCAACTCAGTTAGAGACCATAGCAACCAGCACTCAATTAGAGACCAGAACAACCAGCACTCAGTTAGAGACCATAGCAACCAGCACTCAGTTAGAGACCATAGCAACTCAGTTAGAGACCATAGCAACCAGCACTCAATTAGAGACCAGAACAACCAGCACTCAGTTAGAGACCATAGCAACCAGCACTCAGTTAGAGACCATAACAACCAGCACTCAGTTAGAGGCCATAGCAACCAGCACTCAGTTAGAGACCATAGCAACCAGCACTCAGTTAGAGACCATAGCAACCAGCACTCAGTTAGAGACCATAGCAACTCAGTTAGAGACCATAGCAACCAGCACTCAGTTAGAGACCAGAACAACCAGCACTCAGTTAGAGACCATAGCAACCAGCAATCAGTTAGAGACCATAACAAACAGCACTCAGTTAGAGACCATAGCAACCAGCACTCAGTTAGAGACCATAGCAACCAGCACTCAGTTAGAGACCATAGCAACCAGCACTCAGTTAGAGACCATAGCAACCAGCACTCAGTTAGAGACCATAGCAGCTCAGTTAGAGACCATAGCAACCAGCACTCAGTTAGGAGACCAGAACAACCAGCACTCAGTTAGAGACCATAGCAACCAGCACTCAGTTAGAGACCATAACAACCAGCACTCAGTTAGAGACCATAGCAATCAGCACTCAGTTAGAGTCCATAGCAACCAACACTCGTTAGAGACCATAGCAACCAGCACTCAGTTAGAGGACCATAGCAACCAGCACTCAGGTTAGAGACCATAGCAACCAGCACTCAGGTAGAGACCAGAACAACCAGCACTCAGTTAGAGACCATAGCAACCAGCACTCAGTTAGAGACCATAACAACCAGCACTCAGTTAGAGACCATAGCAACCAGCACTCAGTTAGACACCATAGCAAACCAGCAGGGGGCGATGAGGAGACACTCAGTTAGAGACCAACCAGCAGGGGGTCATGAGGGGGACACTCAGTTAGAGACCATAGCAACCAGCAGGGGGGCGATAAGGAGACACTCAGACAAGAGAGAGGCCTTATTGTCATTAGCTACGGTGTAGACCATGGCAAATGAGAAACTTAGGTCACATGGTGAGGGGTGGAGGCATGTGTTTTAGGACGCAAGAGGTTTTTTTAACTGAGAACAAGTCTTGAAGAAATTGCGGTGTGAATACTGGACATAAAATACACACTGTTTTCAAACATATACACGTAAATATATCTAATATATGACCCAAATATGTATATATGTTCATTTTAATTCATTTCTTATTTCATAGTTAGTTAGCTGTCTATCATGTTATTGGCTAACATACGGGGGTTGGGGCAAAGCGTAACCAAAAGGATGTCAAATTGTATTTCCTTAGAGATTATTGAAAAATGTGTGGTGTGGTGTGTGTGGGTGTGTGTGTGTGTGTGCGTGTGCGTGTGTGTGCATGTGGGTGCGTGTGTGTGTGTGTGTGTGCATGTGTGTGTGTGTGTAGATGGGTTATGCGGTCCCTCAGCAGACAGCTGCAGGGATTCACACCCGCCTGTACAGCAGAGCCTTCATCATCGACGACGGGAGGCGCAGAGTCCGTCTTCGTCACCGCCGACGTGGGAATGATTTCACAGAGGCTGCGTCTGGAGGTTGAAAACACACACACACACACACACACACACACCACACACACACACCCACAAACACACACACACCACATATATATATAATATACATTTAAACATATATTACAATCTCTTATTACTTTTTACTGAAGCCTTTACTTAGAAGTATAACCAGGAGGGAACTCTTTAAAATATCTCATAATTATCTAAAACACTTTTGTAACCTTAAAAAAAGGAACAGCTGACTTAAATTATTTACAATATATTCAGAAGTTTATTTTTTAAAAACTTATTCTTTATTAGTTATTTTCACACATTCACCTTTACATCCAAAAGTCCTCCAATTGAGATGAACAGTTTCTTTAACAAGGGGTCACAACATGTACAAGGTCTCAAATCACAAAACTTCAACATGAGAATATGAAAAGCAAAATGTATAGAATTAAACATATATTAAACATATACTATATATAAACACTGAGGTTCAAGGCTTTTATTGGTCATACGAACCCTAGAGGACGAATTTAGGAATTAAATGTTAGAAGATATTTCAAAATGTTCTCCGTGGAAACCCAATTAATCAAGGTCTCAAATCCCAAAAATTCAACATGAGAATATGAAAAACTAAATGTATAGAATTAAACATATATTATATATAAACACTAGAGGTACGTATTTATGAAAAAAGAGTTGGAGATTATTCGAGAAATGTTCTTCATGGGCCCGTGGAAACCCAATTAAAAATGTTCTCGAAGAGATAGCAAATAACTTCAAAATAAGTTTTAAAGGTCTCCTATCAAACCATTTTTAGGCATATATTATAGGTCTAAGATATATAAAAAACATGTCTCTGAAGTGTTTGCTCAAAATAGAGAGAGGGTTGTATTTTCTGACACTTTGTGAGTCTCCTGACACACCGGGGACACATATGTATGTATACAAAACATCAAAAAAATTGCATTTTGCATGATAGGGGTAATTTAAAGTCAGTTGTAATGTGTTTGATTAATGTCCAGGTCCTGCGGGCGCTGCCAGCTGAAGTACGGGGACCTGTACCGGCAGGATAACGTGGTTCTGAGCGGGAACGCACACCCACAGCGGGCCGGCCGGTACTTCCAGTACACGCTGTTCATGATCTCCTGCAAAGGCTTCATGAGGAGTCCATCGAGCCGCTCGTCAACGGCATCGTCAAGGTGGGGTTCATTTAAGGTCCAGAGTTTAGACAGAGCCCAACATAACATAAAACTGTACTCCAAGTATCACCTTTTCTCCAGAGTATAAACTCACACATAACCTATAATTACATACAACTCAGCCTCAGGTCATAGAAAGAAAATACTTTAATTCTGTAAGTATGACCTTGTTTTCCTGAATATAGACATCGTCCATCATAAAAGTCCTACAAGTATAATATTTTAGAGATTATTCATTACATTACATTACATTACATTACATTGCATTTAGCTGAACCTTTTGTCCAAGCGACTTACAATAAGTACATTCGACCAGGAAGACACAACCTTGAAGAAAACAGAATCATATAAGTATATCAGGTTTCATAGAGCCAAACATTTCAAGTGCTACTCAACTGGCTTTAGGTAATCCAGTCCTTTATTGGTATAAAAGTGCTTCGTTAATCGTTCTAAACGCTCGAAGTGGAGTCGAAAGAGATGAGTGTTTCAAGTTTGCGCCGGAAGATGTGCAAGCTATCTGCCGTCCTGATGTCAATGGGGAGCTCATTCCACCATCTTGGAGCCAGGACAGCAACCCCGTGTTTTCGCCGATGGGAACTTGGGTCCCCCTCGCAGCGAGGGCGCAACGAGTCGTTTGGCTGATGCAGAGCGTAGTGCACGCGCTGGGGTGTACGGTTTAACCATGTCCTGGATGTAGGAAGGGCCAGATCCATTCGCAGCACGGTAAGCAAGTACCAGTGTCTTGAAGTGGATTCTAGCAGTTACCGGAAGCCAGTGAAGGGAGCGGAGGAGCGGAGTGGTGTGGGAGAATTTAGGAAGGTTGAAAACCAGACGAGCCGCTGCATTCTGGATGAGCTGCAGAGGTCGGATGGCACATGCAGGTAGACCAGCCAGGAGGGAGTTGCAGTAGTCTAGGCGTGAGATGACGAGAGCCTGGACCAGAACCTGCGTCGCTTTCTGGGTCAGCTGGGGACGTATCTTCCTGATGTTGTAAAGCGTGTATCTGCAGCAGCGGGTTGTAGCAGCGATGTTTGCAGTGAAGGACAGGTTGTTATCTAGGGTCACACCCAGATTCCTTGCAGTCTGAGTCGGGGAAACAACTGAGGTGCCGATGTTGATTGTCAGGTCAAGAGTTGGACAATCTTTTCCCGGGAGGAAGAGCAGCTCAGTCTTGTCCAGGTTGAGTTTGAGGTGGTGAGCGACATCCACTGAGAGATGTCAGCTAGACAAGCAGAGATGCGTGCGACGACCTGGGTCTCTGAGCGGGGAAAGGACAGAATTATTGGGTGTCGTCAGCGTAGCAGTGGTAAGAGAAAACCATGCGGGCTAATGACGATCCGAGCGAGTTTGTGTACAAGGAGGCAGAGGAGGGGACCAAGAACAGAGCCTGAGGACCCCCGTAGGTTAATTGACAAGGGGTCGGACGCAGACCCTCTCCAAGTCACCCTGTAGGTACGGTCTTTCAGGTATGAGGTGAGGAGGGAAGTGCAGAGTCCAGAAACTCCAAGTTTTTGGAGAGTGCGAAGGAGGATCTGATGATTCACCGTGTCGAATGCAGCAGACAGGTCCAACAGGATGATGACAGAGGAGAGGGATGCAGTTTTGGCAGTGTGCAGTTCCTCCGTGACAGCAATGAGAGCAGTTTCTGTGGAGTGACCTGCCTCTGAAACCAGACTGGTGCGGATCCAGAAGGTTGTTCTGATTGAGATAACAGAGAGTTGTTTAAAGACAGCGCGTTCAAGTGATTCATAGCCCCCAATAACAATTAACTGTACTTCTGAAACTCCTACCTTATTTCCAGAGTATAGATGTAGCCCATCGCAACATAAAACTGTACTTCTGAAAGTGTCACCTTGTTTCCAGAGTATAGACATAGCCCATATTAAATAAACTACTTCTGAAAGTATCACCTTGTTTCCAGAGTATAGACATAGCCAATATTAACATATAACTGTACTTCTGAAAGTATCACCTTGTTTCCCAGAGTATAGACATAGCCAATATTAACATATAACTGTACGTCTGAAAGTGTCACCTTGTTTCCAGAGTCTAGACATAGCCCATATTAACATAAACTACTTCTGAAAGTATCACCTTGTTTCCAGAGTATAGACATAGCCAATATTAACATATAAACTGTACTTCTGAAAGTCTTACCTTGTTTCCAGAGTATAGACATAGCCTTAGTTAACATACAATTGTACTTTAGAGAGTATGACTTTGTCTCCAGAGTATAGACATAGCCCATATTAACATAACACTTCTTCTGAAAGTATCACCTTGTGTCCAGAGTATAGACATAGCCTATATTAAATCAAATCAAATCAAATCAAGTTTTATTTATATAGCACAAACGATTTTGGTGGAGCCAAAGTGCTGTAACATATAATAAAAACAGCCTACAGTAGAGACACTTTAACAGCAAATACAACAGCACAGATTGTTCAGAATATCAGTATAGGAAAAATGACACCCTCTTCCTTAGATCGTCCTGTCCTTAGATCCTCTGTCCTAGACCCCTCTGTTCCTTAGACCCTCTGTTCTTAGACCCTCTGTTCTTAGACCCTCTATCCTTAGACCCTCTGTCCTCAGACCCTCTGTCCTTAGACCCTCTGTCCTTAGGACCCTATGTCATTAGACCCTCACATTGTACAAGGAAAAAACTTCCAGAGAAACCCACAGTTTAAGAGGGAACATGGGAGAAAGCTCAGGAGAGCAACAGAGGAGGGATCCCTCTCCCAGGACGGACAGACGTGCAATAGATGCCGTGTGGAAATCAAGAGATAATACATTTTACAGCATATAGACCGAATGTTAGGAAATGCATGTGTCTGTAATAAGAAGAGGAATCCACGAGGATGTCAGCTACAATCCAATAAATATTAACATCAAACTACTTATGAAAGTATCACCTTGTTTCCAGAGTATAGACATAGCCCACAGCAGCATTAGGGCCGGGCAGGATCTTCCGGAGTCGGGGGGAGCTGGAGGACAGCAGCCTGAACAGAAGTCCTCACTCGTACCTGAACAACCCAGAGAGCGAGAGACACAGGTACACAAACTCTCAGAGAACAAAGTAATCCATGACTTTAAGTGAAGAAGTTATTGATTTGATGTTGTTATTGATCATCAGGTATAAGTGGAACACGGATAAACAGGTTCTGGTTCTGAAGTTCACCAATCTGGACGGAGACGGCATCGGTATGCTCAGGTGAGAACACACCTTTAGTAAGAATGTATCAATATCACTGTTGGTAAAAAATGTGCCAGAAATAATAAAAAAACAATACAAATGATAACAAACAGAATCAGAAACAGGTTTATCAGCAGGTACACGTACGAGGAATATGACTTGGTGTCGTGCTGCAGACATACAAGGGAAACACAATTAAAAACACAGATAGAAAACTATATGAGAAAAATATTATAACATTACAAAATATTTAAAAATATAGTAAAATATAGCAGTATCTAAATTTGAATATCATTGTAGTAAAATATATGATATTACATTATACAAAATATTACATTAATAACGGCCCAGGATTAGGGTCGAGGATTTTCGGGATATTAAAATTATAATTTCCTACGATTGCTGTTTGTGAAATTCTTCAGAGAAACTGATAAATGATTCGTGGACAAAAAAAATCTTTGATCTCAAGGGGCTTTCACCTGGTTAAACAAAGGATACACACAAACAAACAATAAAGAAAGTCAATATAAAGGTGAAATAGATCTGAAATGCAGGAACAGAGCAGCTTCATCCCAGAATACAGTTTACAGTCACAATATATAGGAGAGAAACCCCTTAGATTCTCTGAGGCATCGTCTAAAACACCCCCCCATTAAACCATAGAACCCCTCCAGTCCTTTAGCCCATTTGTAAATCCACCTTTTGCACTTCCTTGATCCTCCTGAAATGTAAATCCTTAGCATCTGTCTCTGTTAAACACATACAAGACTAAAATACAATTTAACATTGTGAAAGGCAATCAGAGTATAAGACTATATGTTTTACATGTTTATATGACACTGTTATGATGACGATGTTTATGCCCACACACACAGCTGGGTTTGCGGTTGCACGCCGTCAGCATGAAACTACACCAACCGGATGGTGAGCAGCGACAACATGGGATACGCCTCCTACCTGCTGGAGCAGGACAAGAACCGCGGGCAGCTGCCTGGACAGGTGGGGCGCCGGCACACAATATGACTGTGTCTACCTTCATTCGGATAAAAAACAATGATCATACCATGACAACACTGGGGGGAATCCAGAATTCCAGCTAAATGACGCTGTGTAATAACAGCTACCTGGACAGGTGGCGCCATTACACAAAATGATCATTTCTACCTTTGGTCTGAAAAAGGTAAACGTGTGTGTGTGTGTGTGTGTGTGTGTGTGTGTGGTGTGTGTGGTGTGTGTGTGTGTGTGTGTGTGTGTGCGTGTGTGTATGTGTGTGGTGTGTGTGTGTACAGGGAGGTTTCGTTGCTGGTTTCTCATCCAGTAATCTCGGAGACGTCAGTCCGAACACCAAAGGTCCTCGCTGCATGAACACCGGGCTGCCCTGTGACTACCTGAACAGCTCCTGTCCCGTGGGAGGGGTAAACACACACACACAACACACACACACACACACACACAACACAAAATACCACACACATACACACACACACACACACATAGCAGACCATAAACGGTGTGTGTTTTAGACTAAGCAGTGTGGGGCGTTTGGACCTGGAGCCGACATGTTCGAGAGCACGAGGATCATCGGACACAGCATCTACATGAAGGCCAAGGTGGTGGGGTGTGTGTGTGTGTGTGTGTGTGTGTGTGTGTGTGTGTGTGTGTGTGTGTGTGTGTGTGTGTGTGTGTGTGTGTGTGTGTGTGTGTGTGTGTGTGTGTGTGTGTGTGTTGTGTGCTTGTGTGTGTGTGGGATAGATTAATATTTACCTAACCTTTACTGTACATTAAGTCATTCAAATATTGTTACATTAGGTTAAAAAATATCTTTTAAGAAATCTGAATTTTTTTGTGGCAGTTTTCAGGACTGAAGTTGGTTAAAAATGTAATTCAGTGGAAGTGGAAAATAGTATTTGTATTATTTTACATCCGTTGTGTCCACTCAGCCCATCAGAGAAACTGTTTTGAAGAGAGTTACAAGGAATAAATAAAAAAATTGAAACAATTAAAATACTTGTTCTTAGTACATTGTGGGGTGCCATTTTCACGTAGTGCTTTGTGGGGACCCTTTATTGGAGGTTATCAAATTCAGTCAATTTATCTGACAAGCATGTGTGTGTGTGTTTGTGTGTGTTTGTATGTGTCTGTGTGTGTGTGGTGTGTCTCTGTGTGTGTGTGGGTGTGTGTGTGTGTGTGTGTGTGGTGTGTGTGTGTGTGTGGTGTGTGGTGTGTGTGTGGTGTGTGTGTGTGTGTGTGTATTATCTGCCCCCTGAAGGAGCTGTATGGTACTGCAGTGGAAGAGGTTACAGGTGTTCTGCACTCGGCCCATCAGTGGGTCAACATGACGGATGTTACTGTCCAGATCAACACCACACACACGGTCAGCCACTCACACATCACGGAGAACAGGTTTTAGCCACGTTAGCATGTGTAGCTCAAGCTTTTTCTTAAGGGAGCTAAAAGAGAGGAAAAGCAGAAGTGGAAATTCAGAATTATCTGATATGTTTGTTTTTTCTCGTTGGATTTTAGTGCATTATTATTTATGTATTTAATCACTATTTCTATTCTATTTTTATTTTCTTGCACTATTTTAGCTGTTATATTTGTTCTATGTCCATATGTTGCACTGTTGGAAGAGCCTGTGACCTACGTTTTTCATTGACACATCTACACTGTAGCTGATGTACAAAGGAAAATAAAGCCTTACATCTTGAATCTTCAGGCCAGTACATGTAAACCAGCTCTGGGTCACAGTTTTGCAGCGGGAACAACAGACGGAGGAGGAGACCTCAACTTTACTCAGGGTGATTATACAGTCTTTCTAACGTCATTATACTGAAGGTCATTATAATGTATTTCCTCCATCATTCTGGTTTGAATCCCACTTCAATTCAATTCAATTCAAAACCTTTATTTATCAGGTAAAATCCCATTGAGATCAATGATCTCTTTTTCAAGGGAGACCTGCAGCAGTAGGTTCCACAAGAAGACATAAACAACAGAACAACAAAAGGACATACAGCAAAATGTACAGGGATTACAATTGACATATTTAACCACATGTACAGGTACCAACAGCATCTGATTTTGGAGCATCCAACTGAGCTTTAAAAACATGTAGTGGTACTAGCTTGGTAATTTTCCATTCTTTTTGCAGACTGTTCCATGTTAGTGGAGCTGCACATCTAAAAGCTTTCTTCCCTAAGACAGTCCTAGCACTTGGCACATTTAATAAAACCACAGCATTCGATCTCAGGCAATAAGTACTTTCAATTCGCCGAGAGATCAGAGAGCAGATATAAGATGGTAGTTTATCCAACATGGCTTTGTAAATGAAAAAGTACCAGTGACTGAGCCTCCGTACAGTAAGTGATGGCAGACCTGCCTTGGTATACAGGGTACAGTGATGCGTAAGTGCTTTACAATTTGTCACAAATCTCAGTGCGCTGTGATACGCAGCATCTAACTTGACCAGGCAATGGGCAGGTGCATTCATATACATCAGATCACCAGAGTCCAGCACAGGTCAAAAGGTCACAGAGCCTTTTCCTGGCCTCAAGCGAGAAACAGGACTTGTTCCTGAAGAAGAAACCTAGTCTAACCCTCAGCTTTTTAAGCAGGTTATTGACATGAAATTTAAAAGTGAGACAGTCATCAAGCCAGATACCCAAGTATTTGTAACAGGTAACCACTTCAAGTTGTATTCCTTGCGTAGTTACAATATCCAAAGCAGTCACCGGTGTATTTTTAGCTTTAGCTTTAGAAAAGAGCATTATCTTGGTTTTATCAATATTTAAAAGAAGCTTTAGTTCAGAGAGCTGAGTCTGAATAATGTTAAAAACAGTTAATTTAACACCAGCCTCCTGAATACCGTGATGTACTTTTTACAGTACATCACGGTATCGTCCGCATAAAAATGTAAGGTTGCTCCTTCGACATTTTCACCTAAACTGTTGATGTAGATGGAGAATAAAAGTGGACCTGAAACAGAACCTTGAGGAACACCATTAGCAATGTTTAACCACTCAGAAGACAGCCCATCAAAGTGAACACATTGGGATCTTTCAGAGAGGTAGTTCACAAACCACCCACTGCATGGCTGGATATGCCGATACTGAGTAGCCTCTGCTTTAAGATGTGATGATCGACGGTATCAAACGCTTTGGACAGGTCAACAAATAGAGCTGCACAACTCTGCTTATTATCTAAAGTACTCGCCACATCATTCACCACTTTCATTGTGCTGTGTTGCTTTCTGAAGCCTGACTGATGTTTAGACAGGATGTCATTTGTACATAAAAACTCCTTTACTTGTTCACTCACTAGGCGTTCGAGCACCTTCGCCAGAACTGATAATTTAGAGATTGGCCTATAGTTATTTAAAGGGATAGTGGAAATCCGCGAATTTTGGGTTTAACTTATGTATTTTTATTAAAAATAAGCATAATAAACAATTTTTTTTAATTTCATGCTCCTAGTTTCATTTTATTTCAATTTTACTGCTCCCGACCACGCCCTCTCAATGAAACGAAATACTTCGGTAATCGTCGGGAATCTTCGGGTGATGACGAAAACAAAGGACGACGGGCACAAACAATGGCGGACATTCAATAGAATTTTCATGTGAATAGCCGACCTTTATTATGGTGAATAGATGTGTTTTGTATGGCTGTAGTGCGACAGCAAATGCAGAGAATGGCGTTTCGACGCATGCGTTTCCAAGAAACCCAGCCATTCGTCGTCAGTTGGTGAAATTTGTTCAGATAACACGGGCAAACTTCAGAGCCGAAGCTGACGAGTACTTCGGCAGTCGTGTGCTCCCGTCATTTTACTGACGATTGTTTCGAGATTCCTCTGTCTCTAGCTCAAATTGAAAGTGGAATACATAAGAAGTGAGTATTTTATTATGTTTTCTAGCTGATTTAATGCATCATTAGCCTGTACCATTGTGTACAACGCCATTTATTGCCTGTCGATTAGGCGACCGGAGGCCTCGTCATCCGATAATCCGGTACACAGTGTCGAATGTGTACACTACAGTCATCATATAGACATGATAGACTAACAGTACTGTGAGTACAGCCTACACCTAAAACTACATTTTCGTAGGAAAGCCGAGAGGATGTTTCTGACTCGCTATCATCACTGGATACCTCGTACAATCCTTCTTTGTCTGGTATATTTGCCCTTCCACGTTCATTCTGCATAGACGCCATTGTTATCGTTTCGTCTTCCTGAGTTTTCGTCACTTCCGGTTTGGCTGAAGCGATAATTTTGTTTCTAAAAAAGTTCGGGGAAGCTGCAATAAAGTGCTTCTAACATGCGTAAGACAATTATTATATTTTTTAATCAGGTGTGATTGTTTTGGTACGTAATTATGCTTGTATATAAGTTCAAACGAAACTATTTGGGGTTCAATTTCCACTATCCCTTTAATAAGGTGGCCTCCCCTCCTTTTAGCAAAGGCAGGACATACGCTGACTTCCATACTTTTGGAATTGTGTTCGTGCTGAGAGAGAGGTTAAAAAGAGTAGTGAGAGGTGGAGCAATAAAATCTGCAGCTATCTTTAAAAAGAAAGGCTCTACGTTGTCCGGGCCGGCCGGTTTCTTAGGATCTAACTTGGTTAAAGCTTCACGAACAACATCAACAGTAAAAGGAGTAAAACTGAAAGGGTTTTCCAGACCACATTGTTCAGAGTCACCGACTGTAGTGTTCACAGAAGCAGAGTTAGTGACAGAATCAAACAGAGAGCCACAGAACACAAATGCTCATTAAAGCAATTAACATAGTAGCCCTGTCCGATATAGAGCCAGATGCTGTGGTAAGGCACGGAGGCCGCTCATTACGGATATCACTAACCCGCCTCTCTCTTTAGGCGCTGTGGAGGGCGACCCGTTCTGGGACGGGATCAGAGATGCTCTGGTGGGTGAGCCGTCCAATCAGTCGCAGGCGTGTCATCATCCCAAACCCATCCTTTTCAACACCGGGGAGGTGAGGCGCTTTCACACCGAGGGTTAAACATCTGTATTTGTTGTCGTTATTTAAATGTGCCCATAAAATAACATGAGAGGAAACATCACAACCATTTTTGGAATCTTAAAAACATGAATTAATAATCTAAAATTATTCCAAAAAAGATTCGAGTGAAACTGGAGAAAGTGTGGGAAGATTTTAAAATATGTCCAACATTTTTTGAGTCAACACGGAAAAATCCCAACAAACTTTGAAATAAATATAAAAAATATAAAAATTATTCAAAACTTATTCGGGAAAAAGTAGAACATTTAAAGAAAATCTTCAAACATAAGAAAAAAAATTGTGAAAACTAAAATATCATTCCAAACTTTGGAAAAGTACAAAAAAATACAAATAATAAAATCTCTTCATATAACAAAAATCGAGTGGAGAAATCGTATAAATATCGCAACCGACATGTACATATATGTGTGTGTGTGTGTGCGTGTGTGTGTGTGTGTGTGTGTGTGTGTGTGTGTGTGTGTGTGTGTGTGTGTGTGTGTGTGTGTGTGTGTGTGTGTGTGTGTGTGTGTGTGTGTGTGTGTGTGTGTGTGTGTGTGTAGATGAACTGGCCTCTGCCCTGGCATCCTCAGATCGTTGACGTTCAGATCATCACTGTCGGCTCTGTAGCTGTGGTGGCCGTTCCTGGAGAGATGACGTAAAAACACTTTAATAATAATAATATACAAATCAAATACTTTAAAAAATGTTATTTCATCTTGTATTCATAATCTGAGTTGTAGTTGAGTATTCAACCACTGAGGACTTTATACAAGTATACACAGTACATGGACAGAGAATTGTAGTTTTTCCAAAATGAGTTTCATATGATATGAATGGTCAACGTTAGATGTAAAAAATATTTAAAAAAACATTTATTTTCTAGTGTCTTTTTAGGAGACTATTAACTCTAAATAAAAAAATACATGTGAAATATTCATTTACATTTTTCTTGTTATATTTTGTCCTTTTATATTTCAGCACCATGTCGGGGAGGAGGTTAAGAGAAGCCGTCAAACAGGTGAGACACAACGAGGACACAACACATCAACACATCTGCAACAGGTCATGTGATCATACTGTGTCTGTGTGTGTGTGTGTGTGTGTGTGTGTGTGTGTGTGTGTGTGTGTGTGTGTGTGTGTGTGTGTGTGTGTGTGTGTGTGTGTGTGTGTGTGTGTGTGTGTGTGGGTGTGTGTTGTGTGGGTGTGTGTGTGTGTGTGTGTGTGTGTGTGTGTGGGTGTGTGTGTGTGTTAGGAGCTGCAGTCGGAGGGTGCGTTCAGGGACTCGGAGGTGGTGATCGCCGGCCTGAGTAACATCTACACGCACTACATCACCACCTTCGAAGAGTACCAGGTACAAACAGCAGAGGCTCAGTTGTAAAGAAGACACACAGAAAAAAATAGAATAAACAGGATTTCTGGAAAACAAAGAGTAAATAATTCTAAGTGCATTGTTGTTGTTTTTTACAGGTGCGC